AACAGGAATGGACACTTGACTACTGTCGAGTAATCTGTCATCCTAAAGTATGAGCGAATGGGGTGTTTGCTCTGAGGGACAAATGTGTGTGTGTGCGTGCGTGCGTGCGTGCGTGCGTGCGTGCGTGTGTGTGAGTGGGAGTAAACAGCAGGGGAGGGAGATATCTGAAAGCCAGTCCGTGTGTGCTAGGAAGGGTTGCTATCACTTAGCCTTTGGTTGGGAATGCCATACCTGCGAAAACACAGGGAGAAGGGACTGTTAGCCCAGCAATGAGCCTCAGCATGTATCTGTGGATGATGTGGATGTATTACAAGAGCTGGATCTGACCTCCCATCTGTAGCAGAAGAAAACTGTAGTTTTAATTTAACTGTTACAAAAGATCATTAAAATGCCATTAAAAGGAGACATATCATGCAAAATTCACATTTTAAGGTGTTAAARTTTGTTGTGTACTTGGAGTCTCCAGGAGTGCAGAAAAGTTTAATTTAGTCTCTCCTYGTGCTGCGTAGATACCTTTACATTATTTTTGGGTCATACAGTATTTCTCAACCCGTTCAGTTTTCTCTATTTTCTATGATGTTTTCTGAATTATTACATCACAGAATTTGTGACGGTACTGCCAAATAATGTCAGGAGGTGCCTTGTTTGGYTTTAAAYTGACAGCATCAAAATGAGTTGATCTGAGACAAATCTAAGAAAGGGGGTGAAAGAGGGGCTTGTGGAGTTACAATAAGGAAGGATTCCAAAGCATTGTAGTTCCATTTCATAAAGACTAGGGGGGGCACTGATTGCAGTGTTCTGGCTAATCACCGATCTTTAAAAAGTCTGACCTGCCATTTCCAATTTTGGCTGATACCAAATTTTTAAARAGCTGACACTGTCAGGTGTTGTAAGGTCACAATACACCTTCCGTCCAATCTTATTTTATTGAAAAACACTGAACACTACCTTTGAACAAACACAAACATGTTTTAACTGGACATGAGGTAGTGCTTACAGCACAGCAAAAGGGGACAATGGATGATTTTCAGATCTTTGTGGAGGTAAATGAGAAGCCGATCTTTTCCACCAATCTTGTGTAAGTATTGATCGATCTTTGATCACCCAAAATTAAGGAAATCGAAACCTCTATAATATACCCCAACTGAATGGTTTAAATTTGAAAAAGAAGGATTTAAAAGCAGGACATATCTCCTATAATGGTTAAAGTTATTCAAACATTTGTTGCGTCATCATTACGTCCTTGTTTAATTGGCTAATATTTCAAACATCAAGCTCACAGGTTTTTGCCACTTTTATTTTGCAGCTTTGGGAACTGCTGACATGGCATCCAACTAGTTAACTTTTGAGTCAATAGGGAGATTCTGTGACTAAGAGATACTTTTTGGAGCTTTAAACAACTGCAAACAAACAAAACATAAAAAGTAAGACACTAATCAAAATTTTTTTGTTAAATACTGACAGTAAAAAAGCTGACCTCAGTATGAGCTGCTTCTGACTAACACCATTCTCTGCTCTGATGGAGCCCAGTATCCAGTTCTCGTAACACATCCATTGACCATATATGAGAGTGATGAACTGCTGATTTTCATGTACCTAATACTCCAGTTGAGTCGATCGGGTATTCCAATATGGAGGGAGTAAGCGTGTAGGGATACTCGTAAGGCGTGTAGATGATTCCAGATTCGGGGCCTTGCTGCACCAGCGCCGGATGCGGGTTAGCTCCCGGCACGAGGGCGGAGCTCTGGATCTGACGGATCAGAGGCATGATTGTGGGCGTGGTGACGGGGGCGGGGTTTCGCAGGGTGGGGGGCAGGACGGGTGTCGGGCCAGTGATGATCCGGGGCACTTGAGGCGTCGCTAGAGGGAAGGCAGCGGTGGCTGTACGGCACACAAACATACAATAATGCAAGTGTGAACACACCCACACAAGAGCACATACAATAGACAGGAAAGAAGAGGAGAGGACAAACAGTCTATTTAACAGGAGAAACAGAGGCATTGTTTGCATATACAGTGGAGTCCTGTACCGAGACCCCTCCTTTGTCACCCACTAACCCTCCTCCACATCTTAACTCTGAAATCATGCTTACGTGTCTTGACATTGGCATCTCTGTAGGTCCCATTGAGAATGGCAAGCTCCATCAGCTGCATTTTCTTCAGGTTGTCCTCCCCCTCAGCCTACAGCGGCACATGGAAACAAAAAGGCATAATCGGCTAACTAAGAGATGACTGTCATTCCTGAGCAGATGAATAAACTTTTGTTGAACTCCGGTCAAAAAGTTAAACTATACAGTACGCTGAGGATTATTAAAAACCAAATTAAATATTTTCCAACGACAACAGACTAAAACTAAAAGCCTGGCATTCCTTGGAATTCTGTTTGGTGGTTCATGAGATAATTTGCTAACAGACAGGGTTGATGCCAACAGTTATTACATTGCTCCAAATTTTAGCTCAATGTGTGTGGAATTTGCTGTTAATAGCCATTTTTGTGTTGGCTGGGATTAATCAGCTGTGGTGACCATCTTGAACTGGGTTGACTCTAAGGATGTGTCCAAAGTCAGGGGCTGCGTCCTTTGAAGGCCATTTTTAAAGGCCGTTTCTGTCACAGCGATGCACCCAAGGCTGTCCAAATTTGAGGGTCTTCCAATTGTGAATCACAAATGCGTCCTCCATCTCCCCCAATTTGAGGGACAGGTCTGGTGTATCCTTTGCAGCCTACTCTATCCCAAGATGCCTTGCGGGCCCACCAGGAGATTTTTTTGCTTGTAATGGTGGTCAAAGCGAGCGATGGAGCGAGACAGAAGTACAGTTTTAAATTAAACTCTAGTGGTACAAAAATTAAAAGTTTAAAACGGTTGTGTTGTTAGGCTTTTGTCATTTGCATAGACATGATTTTCAATATTGTTTTGGTCAGAAATCATTGTAGACGTGCTCGTACGGCGGCTCCCTTAGATCTTCATGTATTGCCAGAAAGCCAATTTCAGGGTTCCTGCAGCTTAAGGCAAGTTAAATTTAAGACTTTTTCAGACTTCTTTAATGCCACTTGAAATTAAACTTAAGACCAACTTCACGGTAAACAGAAAGGTAACCAAATATTTACCCAAATGTTTACTTTAATACAAAACAACTAGCTGCAAGCGGCATTCAATAAATTATTTAAAACCTAAGACATCTGAAAGGTTGATTAAGGACATTTTAAGGCTAACTAAACCTTTATTTTTAGGGTGATGAATTCATTGCTTTTTAAGTCTTTTTAAGTATAAGAATTTATAATATGTCAATATTTAGCTAATTTAGTTTTTCATTGTTTCTGTTTAGCGCTGTCATGATTGCTAGGTGGCAGGACATACGCTGGAGTAAGGGTGGGAATAAAAATAAAGGCTAAACCGTCCCAATTTTCAGCCACTTTCTTCCAGTCTTCACGGTCGATAAAGGACGCAGTCCATGTCAACCAGGTATGTCGGGTCCCTCGAAGGACGCAGCCCCTGAACTTGGACACAACCTGAATATTACTGAGTAGGGTTGGGCATAATCTAACACATTCTCACTCCCGACTCGTCACATACAGTATTGATGCTTTTCCAAGGTTCCCTCTGTGTCTTATTTTGACGCGTCGGGTACTCCCGTCACATCAGTTTTTGATGCACCAGGCATTTCTGTGTTCCCTCTGTGTCCAGGTTTGACGCGTTGGGATGCAAAATATAGAGGTCTTTCAGTTGGGGTCCGTAGTTAACATTAGGGATCATGGTTCATGGTTAATTTTAGCTAGTGGGGTCAGGGGATAGGATGTCTAGGGCAAATATTAGGTAATTTTAGGCTTTGGAACACGTAGGTAACGTGAATTTCTTATATATTTTTTAAAATGGTTAATTTTAGGTATCAGGGTTGATGGTTAATTTTAGGTACTAGGGTCAGGGACAGGATGTCTAGAGTGAATAAAGGTAATTTTAGGCTTTGGGACAGTAGTTTTGGTGCATTTTCTACACTTTCTGAAATTATGACAATGGATTCAGCCCCATCTCGTCAATAACTGACGTGAGGGGGGTACCCGACGTGTCAAAATTGGATGCAGAAGGAACCTTGAAAAAGCATTAATATGTGACGACTTGGGAGTGAGAATGGGTCACATAATCGTATCGTGTGCAATTAATCGTCAGAAAAACATTAATCAATTATTTTTTGGTACTTGACGATTAATAAGATTAATGCCACCAGGCAGAGTCCGCTCGGTGTTCCTCTCCACTTCCAATATGACGAACATTTAAAAAAAAGGTTCTGTAATTTATTTATCTATCAACACAATTTAAAATTTGATGGATAGCCTGAAGTCTGTAAGTTTGACACAATTTGGAAGAGATTTTTATGAAGAACAAATCTTTCCCACTAAATTGGTCATGTGACTAGGACATAAGGGTGTCCAGGGGCTCCAGGGGATTAATTGTCAAATTAATCGTTATCGGCTGAATACCACAATTGATTGTGATTAATTTTTTGCCGATATTGCCCAACTCTATTACTGAGTTGTAGATCAAACCTAAACTTAGAAAACCCATGCATATTTGGCTCAAACCACTGCCAAAAGAACACACATATACAGACACGGACAAAACCATTATTGATGCTTCACGATAAAAAAAGAAGTCTGATAAAGTTTGATAAAACACTCCCAGATTGTCTGGAGTGGATTTGATCAGACCTTGAATACAGCCACCCGCCCCACCACACAGGATATATTCAGTGTCAAACATGCTAGCTTCTTAGCTCCAGTTACAGCCTGGTGAAAAGCTTGACTGATTTACATTCTGAGAGAAAGGTCAGCTGCGTTAAACTAACACATATCACTGACTTTACCTGCCACACATGCAAACACACACATGCACCAACATGGATTAACAGGTGTTCAGCTCCTGACAGCTTATAGACACTTATCACATCCTTGGACAGCTGATTGTTGTCATAAACACCCGTTACTGTGATCTTCAGCTTCTTTCAATTGTCGCAAACAACGCAGAGATGGAAAATGAAAGTCGTTTTGTGATTTTGAAATGTGTGCTTTTGTTCTCGTGTCAAACAGGACATAATGGAGAATGTGTGTCTTTATCTGATGCACTTTTGATTTGTCATCGCTCTGGCGAATCTGCAAATGTGTATGTGTGTTTGTAGGTGGGCGGAAGGTGGGCCTGGGAATCTGAGAAATGTTCAGAAGTGCAATCAAAATGTTCTCTTGTAGGGACAAAAAAAACGTAGGGAGCAGGAGGAATACTGTAGCCAGTAGATGGGAATGAAGTGAGTTGTGAACGAGTGAAAGGAGTGATGGAGTGGGGAGAAGGAGTGAACAGACTCTCCATTCATTCCCTCAGCCTTTCAAACAACCCAGAGCTACCATGGCAACTCCTTTATGCGTGTTCCCTAATTACCCTAACCCCTTACACATACTCTCTCATACACACAAGTTTGCACAAAAAAGACACACACACARACACACACACACACTTCTTGAGCTTGACAATCCCCTTCCCCCTTCCATGCATACCAACACAGTGAACCCTCATCCAGTCACACGCACAGTTTTCCAGTAAAATCACAAATAAAAGTCTATGCCGAGCGTCTCTGGTACTCACAGCGGGCACGAGAAGTTTCTTGACCTCATTGATGGCTCGCTGGAGTTTGATCTTGGCACGGTTGTGTGTGTCCTCCACTGTGATCAGGACGTGGAGGTCCTCGCTGAGGTGCTCCCAGTTGGGCTTCCCTCGGTTCATCTCCTCCTGAAACACACAAATCATTTATAAGACACACAAAAAAAAGGTTGGTTTGAATGAGCCGCTGACGGGGAAAAGGACTTCACTTTTCTTCTTTGGCTTGGCTCGGTTTTTGGATCGCACACAAACAAACGCACTCGCACGGCTCAAGGTTGTCTAATGCAGCTTTGGAGGCGTATCAAACTCATGAAACGACGGTGTTGTTCCTCGGTGGTTACGCAAGATTGGTGCTGCATTTTCCTAAAGGTTCAGGACTCTGATTCTTTGTGTATTATCTCTTCAAATTTCCCCTCACTTTAGCTCTTCGTCTTGTTTGTTCTGCCTTCATCACGCCATCAAAACTCTCTGTAATGATCAAATAATGTTAGCATACAGGCAGCTGTTTAAGTGAGCCAATAAGTAAAAAAACAATCAATTAACATTGTTGCTACATGTATTTGAAGGTCTTATTAACTGTTATTAATGTAACAAAATAGGTCCACATGTTCCAAATAGTTAGAATTGCTTTACTTTTGTTTTAGATAACTGTAACATGCTGTTCCCAAAGGTCAAAAGTTAAATCAAAGTATCTTTTTTAAAACTTTACTGGTATTCAATTTATATTTTTAGCTAAAGTGATTTCAGTTTGTCTGTTTGCTGATTATTCAACCCATTCTCACTCCCAAGTCGTCACATATTGACACTTTTCCAAGGTTCCCTCTGCGTCCGATTTTGACTCTTCTGGTACCCCCTCGTGTCAGTTATTGACGAGATGGGGCGGAATCCGTTGTCATAATTTCAGAAAGTGTAGAAAATGCAAAAAAAAAAAACGACCCTCCCAAAGCCTAAAATTACCTTTATTCACTCTAGACATCCTGTCCCTGACCCTAGTACCTAAAATTAACCATCAACCCTGATACCTAAAATTAACCATTTTTAGAAATTGTAGGAAATTAARGTTAACTARGTGTTCCAAAGCCTAAAATTGCATAATATTCGCCCTAGACATCCTATCCCCTGACCCCACTACCTAAAACTAACCATTAACCCTGATCCCTAATATTAACCACAGACCCCAACTCAAAGACCCCTATATTTTGCATCCCAACGCGTCAAACCTGGATGCCGAGGGAACACGGAAATGCCTGGTGCATCAAAAACTGACACGACGGGTGTACCCGATGATAATACTAATAAAAATGTTACATTCAACCTTTTTATAAACTTTTGATAGAACTGATATTTCATATGTATTGTGCTTAAATAGCTGATGATTATCTGTATTACAAATAATCATCAGCCATAAATATAACCTTGACAGCCTTAGCTCATACCTAGTGTTTGCTAACTTTGTTAAGGGTGGTTACAATAAACACGGGACACACTGCGATCTGCTTCTTTAAGCTAAATTTGAAGGGGGTCAAAGGAACGTTTTAGTAAGGATGGGCAGGGACTTTCAAATATTCATAGTCTAGTTAAATAAAATTAGGGTGCACGATATATCGGCATTAACATTGCTTTTGGACGATATTGGTCATTTTTTAGAATATCGGTATCGGTGTGATAAGTAAAACTGGTTGATTTCCCACTTTTTAGCTTTGTGTTTCTGCTTTGGGAGGGGAAATATTTGGTCGAGTAGCATCTGTTTGATCATGATAGTAATAATGATGCTGTGCAGCCAGGAATAACTGAAGTAGAGCCATGTCAGCCGTCTGGTCATTTTTTATGGTATCGAAAAAAAACACAAGTCTATTTGTGCGTATATGTATATAAATAATTTGTGTGTTTGTGTCCATCCATCCATCCATCCATCCATCCATCCATCCATCCATCCATCCATCCATCCATCCATCCATCCGTCCGTCCGTCCGTCCGTCCGTCCGTCCGTCCATCCATCCATCCATTATCTATACCCATTTCTGCCTTTCAGGGTCACTGGTGCCCATATCCAGCAGTCACAATGCGAGGGGCGGGGTACACCCTGGACAGGTCGCAAGTCCATCACAGGGCCATGGTATCAAAAAAAAGACACAAGTGTATTTGCACGTATATGTATATAAATAATGTGTGTGTTTGCGTAATATCAGTAAATTTCGGTTATCGGCCATAACACCAATGATAATATCAGATATCGGCTGAAATGTTCATATCGGTGCATCCCTAAATAAAACAAGCAAATTCAAATAATTAATTTGACCAATATACCAGTCAGGGTGTTTTTATTCCCCACAAAACCGATAATGCACCTCCTAACAGAAAAAAAAAGACAAAAAAAKCCCCACTTTGTCCCATGATCTGTTTCTGCCGTTGTAGTTTATTTTTAAAGGATTATGAAGTGGAAACTCTGCTCAAGAGGGGGCTCAGGTCCATTGGACCAGTAAGGCCGTGAAGGAGGGCACAGGTTTGCAAAACTGGACCTGCGCAGAGCTCTAACAACCACTCTTTACAAACTGAAGGGTGTTTGTATTTACATTCAAAGCAGGGAAGCAGGCTCAGGATCACAAATGGTCACTCAAGACAGATGTGGAGACACATTCCAATGCCAGGTGTGAACCCATGAACTCATGAGCTGCTTGTGATCGGACCACTAAAGATGCACGTTAAAGTCAGGTGTGAAAATAACTTATTATTTTACAAACATTATAAGATTATGGGAGCATTATGCATATAACTTCGTCCTTGTACATTTTTATTACACTTTTAGTACTTAATTGAGCTCATATATTTTACATAACAAATTGGATTCTCTTGATCGGATTTCCTAACATTAGAGACATTAAGGTTGATTGTGGGATCTTTTTTCTTTTTCTATCATTAACAGCTTGATATTACAACATCTCTAATAAAAATCAGTCAATTGTAGGTCCGGTTAAACAAGAACATTACTAGTTTTGTATCTCATTGTGGCGCTCTAGCAAATTTTTTCCTCTGAGGCTGTTTTGTCAAGTGAGATGTATCATTCTGAAGAACACTGAAAGTCAACATCTTTTTTTCCTCTTCTGCCCCAGTTGCCTCCCACTGTGTCTCTGTTTTCCTTCCTCTCTGTCTCTGTGTGTTTCTCTGTCTCCCTCTGAGGGGCGTGCAGGGTAGGGAATGTTCTGGAGAGAGAGAGAGAGAGAAAGAGAGAGAGAGGGAGAGAGCGAGGAAGGTGTGTGTGTGTGTGGAGAGGGGGTGGAGGAATGCTTGGACTTGCTCCACCTGCCGTTTGGAAAGCTTGAACCGACTCCGTCCAACAGCCAGACACCAGGGGAGAGGAAGGGAGGACAGATGGACTGAACGCCAGGACAGGAAAGAAAACCTCCGCACCAAAAAGTCATTGTGAGGGGAGGGCGGGTAAATAAACATGACGAATAAATAGCTGTGTACGTAAAGATGGATCAAGAGGCAAATCAGTCAACCTTAGAATTATGGGTCATCATCTCAGCAAGCTTTGAGTCGGCTTTTATTTGATCTATTTCTGATCACACGTAGTCCTGTCTCGGGCGACCTTGAACCCATATCCAGATATCAGCTCTGAGATGTCCGCCTTTCATCCCAAAATACTCGTAAATATGGATTCCAGTCAACCCCAAGCTGATTTTAATTGCCTTGTTTCCATTCTTTCATATTTTCTGAAAATCTCTTTCATTTTTCCTCAATCTGCTGCTGATTATTTTCCAAGAAGTTAATCTAAAGCACGCATTGAAAAAATGTTCAAGCATGTAGGCCCACACCCATGTCTAATTTAATACCCAAATATCTGTAAGCATGCACATCAGTCCCACTTCTGTCTCTGCTGCTCGTCTGGCTGAGGTTGTTTCACTTCAACTCTGCTTGATTATGCAAAACAAAAATAAAAAAAAGGTGTTTTTATTACCGCTTCTGTCTTGTGTCTCGTCTTATTGGGTTCCTTTGGGGTTTAACTGCTCTGGCAGTTTGTGTTTTTGACACTTCAGCTGTTTCCTCTTGTTTTAAAAATGTCTTATGAGCAAATTATTTGATACGAATTGATAATGAAACGCACATGTGTGGCCGGTTAAAAGATAAAACCGACAAGCGGACGTGAGCCTCGTGTTGTTGGGCTCGTTTACCTTCTTCTTGTCCCTCATGGAGCCCTTTCCTCGCACCATAATTTTGCAGCCGGTCTCTGCCTCGAGCTGTTTGGCCGTCAGTCCACGTGGGCCCAGGATCCTTCCCACGAAGTTGAACTACGTGAAAGAGCAGAAACGTACGATTAACAGGAAATAAACGAGCAAACCGGCATCGCGAGCTGAAAGTTTCTTTTCACAATGAACATTTACGGGTGCAACTTTGAAGTTTGTGGATGCGCCAAGTGTTTGAAGCGAGACAAAAATAGCTCATTATGCGGGGGTGCTGGCCGGCGTTAGAGGCATGACAGAACACTGCCGTTCTTTTAACCTTATCTGTCACTAAGACTGAGTGATTAACTAGACAGCTGCCCCTCTGTGTGTGTAGGTTGTTGTTTTTACCACCATCCCTCTCTTTCTGCCTCTTTTGCGACGATTCTCCCCCATAATTCATCCCCCCGAATTCAGTCTGAATCTGATGTTTACTTCAGCAACAGTTGCCACACATTTTGACCTCTACTACTACCCTCGACTCTCAGCAGCGCGCAAATCCAGACCGAGGGACTGCGCTCTAAATTTAACCTTGATCTCAACCGTTTTCCAATGCCCTCCTGTGTGTGTCCTGTTAGCCCGCTGTCATGTGAGTCAGGACAGCCCGTCATTGTAGTGGGTGATTGGCGAGTTGATGCATGGAGAAAATCATGTGAGCCACAGCACAGCTCATACTGTGTGTTTGGCTGCTGTGCACTTATTTTTATATTTAGCATTGGGGGGGAAACTTTGTCCGCTTTTTAAAGCGCTTAAAAAATATTTATGGTGTGAACTGAAAATGATGTCAGAAATATGTTTTTTTTAGTTAGGAAATCTAAAATTGCCTAATTGTCACTTCTTTTTGTTCTGTTATCTTATAGYAGCTGCTGATCCTGGCTCATTGACCTGTTTTAACTCCAGATTACATCACTGGGTGTGAGCACAGATGATCTCAGAYTGAAATCAGCTTTTAGATAAAATGCAAAGCAAAATTTCTCCTATGGTTTAGAGCCACGTTGACTCTCTGGTAGCTTTTCTGTAAATAAGGAGCAGATAAAGTGACAACAGGGTAAGGTAAACAGGGAAAAAAAAAAGGTCAAAGATCTTTGGTTTCGTCAACTCACATCGGGGTACTCTTTGACAGGCACGTAGAGCTTCTCCTGCAGCTGGGCCACGGGGCCGACGGCTTCGGGAAGCTCCTCCATGTCCCGCCCGTTGAACATGCCGCCGTTCAGTGTGTCGTTGTACATGTCTTTGCGCACCCGGCCGATTTCTTTGAGACAGCAGGGGTGGAGGGGAAGCAASGGGATAAGTTGAGCGAATAGAAGAGGTTTCACATTTCTTTCATCAGACCGTATTGTTCCTATGATGACTCACTGTCACCAGAATTTGAGGAAGCTTTAAGCGTGACAGCTGACAAATAGACACGCAAAAAGACAAGAATTCTGCACCACGATGTAGAATCTAACCACCGAACGCTTTGCAATCAGGCCTGTTTCTGACCGTGTTTACCGTCTGTTTTCCTCTTTAACCCCAACAGGTCATTCCCCTTTTAATCTGAAAATAATGTGAGAAACCCATACGCGTTAGAGGCAGTCACAGTAAACTGGACCATTTGTTCACAGAGAAAAAGCTTTGAAAAACCAGCATGGCTGCAGACTATGTTTATTCTCAGTATTGATCAGTCTGTAACCTCTCTGTTTTTGCTCGTTGCCACAAAATAGTGGCGCGTAATTTCCGAGAGTTCCASTGTGACAGTGTCTTGTTTGGTTCAGCTACCTGTCCAAAACAAAAAGAAAATTCATCTAAAACTTCAAAAAATGGAGGTAAACTATATGTAAATTTAAAAAGTTCAACCTTTTTACCACTACTCGGTTATTTTTTTAAACTTCTGCAGCCTTAAAACAGCTTTACTAGAAGTGATTACCCAAAAAATAGCTAATAAATGTATTTAAACATTAGGGTAAGCTTCCTAAAAAGTTATATTTGTGGCTTAGGTTTGATACAGYAGCACTGCCATAAATAAGGCTTATTTTCGTCTGTCTGTGCGTTTGTTTGTGGTCGTCTCAATGACCGATGTTTGCCTCCGATACCTTTGTAATGACACTCCAGTGCAATAATAACTGACTACAGCAGCAGACAAACCCACACACACACACACAGACCCCTGGTTTGAAATCTCACACAGACACACACACACATACCAACACACACACGACAGAATAACTGCCTCGGGGCACAAATATCATCTGACCTAAGCAGGCTGACAGGCATGTCTCCCTCCTCTCTGACTGTTGGGTCTGACCATAACTACAGTATCACACTATAATTACAGCCACAGCTAAAGTGACAAGGGTGATCCTCTAATAACCTATTCTGACCCATCGCTGGCAAAAACCGGCCATTACAGGGCACGCAAACAAGCAAATCTGCACAGGCAAGCGTGGCCTTTTGTCACACTTGAGTTAAAAGTAACTAGAGGAAAACCAGAAGTGAAAGAAGAACTAGAGAGTCGGACGAAAGGACAAAAAAAGACAGGGTGGGAGCAGTGGCAGGCTTTTATCTTAACACTTCGACCTTTCGTAGGGTTTAAATATAGACAGGACGAGAACGCAGACTTGAAACAAACACGCTACCCAACAACACCTCGCATAAGCTTTTGTCGTTTTTGGCTTTTTTTTAGTATTTTACACCTGAGCACCCGTTGAGCTTAAACACAGACAGAAGCTGGAAATCGATGTAGTACACAGCCTTTTTTTTCACCAACCAACAATCGGGGTGTCGCATTATCATAAACGTCAAGCCCCTCGACACGACTGTAAAAGTTATTTGTCGAGATGTGGAAGGTCGTCTGGCGTGACAGCAACTTCTTGCTGTGTCATGAGACTTGTCACGGACCACAAAGTCAGTGCCACTGTGATCCTGATGAGCAACAACAGTGGCGACGACAACAGGCCTTGTAGCAACTCTTCAAGCGTGGCATTCATTCAGAACAAAAAGAAAATATGCCTTTTTGCAGTGCTTGCATCTCGTGCAACTACTTATTAGAAAGTTAGTGGACTGCACTGATGACTTGGGGCCTTGATGAAAGCAGCTTCAAATTAAATATTTTACACATTCACATGCTCTCGTTCCTGCACAGGGATGGGCTCCAGCATTCACATAAGCTTGATCATTAGGTCACTGGGAAAGACTAACAACTGTCTGTTTGTTCCCATCACTGCGAACCCCTGTGTGTTTGTTTAAGAGAGTGCTCTGCTGTTCCTCTTTGCAAATCCTAAATCTGACTTAAGACAATAAATACATCCCCTTCACATACATTTGTGTAAAGCTGATGGATTTGCAGTCGGAATCATGTGAATGCTTTGGGTGAAAACATCCAGGAGAGCCTGTGAATGTGATCATTTATCACTGGGATTAAATCAGTGTTTAGGGGACAACTCTGCTGTCACGTTTCCGAGGTTCTACAGAGGAATCCTGCTCTGATAATGGTCCTGCTTTTTTTTTTTTTTTCCATTAAACTCAACTTAATAGTATACTTGCTTCTACAGTAGCTTGGAGAGTGGTTGAGTTTTTCATGAGCCAGATAAATAGTCAAAGAGAAGCCGGAGTTACCTTCATCCAGCAGCCGCTCCAGATGCGTGAAGATGCCGCTGAAGTTGGGCAGGGAGCTCATCACCTTCCGGTCGTTCATTAGCTGCATTAGATAGTCCGGGTTGGACTTGGGTCTCTCCTTCACCTCTGTCTCCCCAACCATGGCTTCTGATTCAAGCGACCCACCTAATAGGAAGACTTGTTACTTTTTACCCCCCCTCTGAAAAAAACAACACGCCCCAAAGAAAACACCAGCGATGACCCCAGGGGAACGCACCAGCCGCCACCGGCAGACCGCCTCAAGCTAGCGGATAAAAAGTCAACTCACAGCTCCGGGGTTGAGGACTGGTTCGTCGGTTAGTGAGCCCCCCGAATCTTCATCAACCGTGCCCCCCCGCCCTTCTGCTCGGCTCTCTCCAGAGTTTGAAAAAGTTACGGAGGGGGAGTGTTCACTTGTTTGACGCGTCTCCGCCGGACTCCTACAAACCCACCATCAGCTCGCCTCCTCCGCTCGGGTCTGGGCGGTGTGTCGGTATTCGGCAGCGGCGGGGACCGAGACTCCCTATCATTACAGTACCACGGCGGCACGAGTGGACTGTCGCGAGCGCGCCGCGCGTAGCCGCCGTTATCAGCGTGAAAGGGGGAGGAGGAGGAGGGGGATCGTGCCCCCGCCCCGCGCGCCTCCTTCACGCGCACGCGGACACCCCGCACTCACTTGAAAAGCCCACAACAATATAAACAGACACAAATAGGTATGTACACCTGTTGTAAAGAAGCGACTGTCTGTCACTGACTTTCAAAGTGGAGGTGCGTTCAGGTACACTCGGAAATTAGACTTTACAAATGGCGTGCAATGGAATGCATAAACAAACATCTGCTTTTGTTTACAGCTATGAAACTGTGAGCAGAACTTTGTTGAAGAAGCTGAAGGTGAGGTGTTAAACCCAACAGAAGCAGAACACTAGCTAAAAGTTAAAAATAACAAAATGCCAGATAAGAAAATAACTGTGGAAAAAGGCAGTTCTTAATTTACCAAAGGGATAGCTAGAAACTAAAGCAGCCAAATGTTAGCTATAAATAAATGTACACAAAGTTTATTAAAACTTAAAAGTAGCTCAATGCTAGCTATAAAAGTATAAAAAACTAGTTACAAAGGGCTAATTGTAAGCTACAGTAAGGCTTGCTGAAATAAAAGCAATAAAAAACTAAAAATTAGGTAGTAAAATGCTACTTATAAGGTAAGTAGCACAAGGCTAATTAAAAGCTAATAGTAGCAAAAGGCTAGCAAAAAGTACAAGAATGTTAGGTAGTAAAGTATCAAAAGTATAGCTAAAAAATAACAAAAAAAAGGCTTACTAAAAGTAGCAAAATAGCTAGAAGGTAAAAGTAGCAAAAGACTAGGTAAATGTATGAAATGGTAGCTAGAAGCTAAAGTAACAAAATGGCTAACTAAAAGCCAAAAGTAGCAACAATAGCTACAAGCAAAAAACAAAACATATGAAGTTCAAAAAAACCACAAAAGCAAAAATCTTTGTACCCTTCAGATTAGGTTTTTTAAATGTCAGTTTACAATGCAGATCATGGTTTGATTAGTTAACAGTGTGTTAAAAGCACACACTGAGAGGCATACTTAATGTTTTTTAATGCATAACATGAAACTTATGTAATTGCACATCACAAGGGCTGATATATTTAGTTCTTAATTGTATTATTTTTTGCTTTGGTTGTTAAAGTGAATCTTTTTCCCCAAAACTAACAAAACCCATCTTCTGCCCACACCCTGTACCCTGAGAACATTTGTTGAGGATCCTGTAATAATAAGATGGTGTTAGGGTCATATTTGTTCTCTCTGGGTGGCTCCTGCAGCTCATATAGGCAGAGGAAATGTTTTTTTTTTTTTTCTGAAGGAGCAGATAGGTGCGAGGGTCTAAACATAACTTGCTGTAGCTCACACACGTGCACATACACACTTAGGCATGGGTGAGACAATGTGTGTGTGCCCATGCATGCCTTGGCTTAAGCCTTTTGTCAGACGCAGCATGCTAACCTCCTACCTGGTTTCCCCTCCCTATAGTCCACTGTTGTACACAAAGTGTTTTAGCCTTGTAGACTTATGATTGTGTGTGTGTGTGTGTGTGTGTGTGTGTGTGTGTGTGTGTGTGTGTGTGTGTGTGTGCGCAGCAGTGCTGATAATGGTTGGTCAGCTGGTATGGCGAGTATTCAGGGCGGGGGCAGTGCATTGTCCTCTCATAGCTCCAACAATGCCCCACTGAGCAGGCCACACATCTATCTACCAGTCACGGGCCTCTCTTTCCTCTCTCGGCCTCTGGCTCTGCTTTTCTTTCTGTCTGCCATGTTTGCTCAGTGGAGAGTAAAGTGAGGTGTGAGCGGCGTGCCTAACCCTGAAACCTCAAAATTAACCAGCACCTGTCAATCACATCACACCCTGAATGTACATTGTTGCTTTGAATTATTGATTAGAAATAGGCCTCAATTGTTCGAACATTCATTAGTCACACTCTTTTATGCATAATTTATATGCAAGTACAATCAGTTCATCAATCTCCTGAACAGTTTAATATCAGTTCAGTTTATTTATACAGCACCAGTTCACAATAAAAGTTGTCTCAGGGTGTTGTACAAAAGAAACCATCCAACTCAGACCAAACCCAATTATAATCATTTTATTCATATTATAATACAAGACATTAAAGGGCCAATATCATGTGTTTCTCAGGCATATATTTAAATACTATACCATAAGAAAGTATCTATGTCACCTTTAGTTGTTATTAAAATACTGTTTTTGTTTAAATAGAAAATAAACTTCTCATCACTTCCTCTTCTAAACGCCTTGAAATTSGCCTCTGTCTCTTTAAGAACCACCTTCTGCTTCTGTCCCATCCCATTTCGCGGTTCGCTATGATGCAGTTTACTTAGCATCTGAAAAAACATTTCATCAAAGGTATTTTTAATCTGAAAAGAGCTTCACTGAGTGAGAACTAATGTTGAGAGGTCAGCAGACAGTTAAGTTTCACTTTCACTTTCACCCGAGAGCCTGCAGGAGTCATGGGCGTGGTGTGTGGGGAGGGACAGAGGGGGGGCGCTCTGCCATGAGGAAGTTTGGCTTAAAGACACGTCCCACAGGCGTTTCTGGTCCCCAAAGGAGTTTCTGGTCCCCACCTGTCGTTTTGCTCCTCAGCATGGCTTCCTAAAAACGCTGCAGGATTTCTCAAACATGRATGAATGAGTCAAAGCAAGGCTTTGGGCATGTTTTATATGAGAGTATAACATTATAAKGTGATYTAAAACTCAAAAAAGTTMATTTTACATGATATTGCCCCTTTAYCTACATATTTTAGACTGTCACGTAATAAACATTATTTTTCTAAGGAAGCTAAAGGATTTCCTTGAATCATCACTTTACTGCAATCCCCTGTGTCAGCAGGTTGGTGACAGTGGGAAGGAATGACTCCACTTTAACAAGAAGAAACTTCCAAAAGAACCAGAACCAGGATGAGCAGCTCATCTGCCTCGACACAAACAAACAGCAAGTGGTCCAGGTGTGGTTCTACTGGAGGAAAAACACAGGTTAGTCATAACAATGACTGAATTATGAATGTGGAGAGTAGAGAGAGTAAAGAAYYCAGAATGAGGTCCTCCAGCGGTCTYAGCCTTTTACAGCATAAGTTAGGGATAACTGAGGAGTCCCAGGCCAACACTAACGATAGGATTGATCAAAAATTGGCCTCATGGACAGAAACTGGAAGGTTCCACAAGAGAAGAGTCTGAAAACTAAATCTGTGCCTTCCACTACCTTTATAAACTCTAGCAACCACAAGTAATCCTGCAGTCTAAAAGCAAAGTATGTCCTAACAATGTTATTCTGAGGAGGTTCTCAGAAAAAGTTTAAGTACCGTACCATCAGTCTAAATAACTTTAAATATTTCATCAGTCATCGGAAAACTAATAGAAGTTACAGTTTTCTCTGTTTTTGGTCATTTTAACAGAGCTGCTATTCTCTTGTTTTATTTTCTTGGATTAATATAAACATGTTCAAACTTTATTGTTTATCACATTTTACAGACCAAGAATAGATTCATTTATTATTATGTTTGAGMAAGAGTTGTCAGTAGCTATTTCCTAGCTTAAAAAGTGACACCAGAAAGAAGCAGCTCCGAAAGAAGAAGAGTCGGGGTCCGACTGTGGCTCCTGAAACACCAAGCTGATAAAACTGATCTCTGATGTTTTCTTTCACTTAAAAAAACACTTTTCCAGCAAAGCCAGCCATGTCAGATGATAATGGAAATGCGCCCTCTTGTGGCCATTTGTGTAACTGAAGCAAAAAAAAAATACAAAGCGTTAATACAAGTTGACAAATTTATCAAAAAGGACACCTGTAAGACATTTGGTGTCACGCTAAAATCGAACACAAAGAGACACAATTGTAACAATTTTCTATAATCAATAAAACAGATATTGCAGATTAAACTATCAAATTTTGAGATTATTGTTGAACATCTAATAGATTACCTGCAGTYAAATAAATGATTAATCAATGAACAAAGCTGCCTGTGTTTTGTTGAAACTTATTATTTGCTGGAAATGAGTTGTAATTTAAAGTGGTGTCGATAGAAAGGCTGTTTTGTTGCAGTGTGAGCCAAAAAAATGTGTGAAACGATCACAAGCGGCTAAGCAAACACAGTGGTGCCTTTGAGTAAATAATCATTAGACGCACATAAATGACTGATCAACCTTTGGAGCCAATCCAATTCAAGATGGCCACCACAGCTAACTGACCTTAGACGACACAAAAAACATCTACAACTCAATCAGTTTTAAAAATATAATGCTTAAATTTGATGTTTGTAGGTMAGAGTTATTTATAACACATACTTCATTGTAGGATATTTGCTTATAGCTTTAGGAACAGCTGTGTGGGTCAGCCTTATTTGTCTGTTAGCAAAATATCTCATTAACAACTTAACAGATTTTTGATTTCTAGTTAATCGAATCGCCTAAAAGCAGAATTTAGTTGAGTCTTTTCTTCCTTTATCTTTTTCTTACTTAAWGGAACCAAAGTTATTTCATCCCTTTGTGTTTTTGTACACGTTTCAGCAGCTTTTGCTCAAATTATTGCCTTATTTTCCCTCCCGTCTCGCCCTGATCTTCACTTTCTCTTGTTTGTCTTGTATCATCTCCTCCTCCCTGGTGTGAGTCCTGCAGCGGGATCTCACCTGCTCACCTGCTGGAAGGGTTCATGCTAATCTCAAGCCGATTAGGCGTCTTATCTTCTCAGCGCTGGTTATGTGCTTTGCTCCAACAAAAATACCACGCAGAGCTGGCCTCTTTACTGTGCCTGCTCACTCTCCACAGCCTCCCCGCCACACATGTGCTCTTAGGAAGCCACGCTCGCTTTGATATCATGGCTCCTCATTCCTGGAAGTTTGTCCAAAATGGGGATTTCAGCTCAGATGCGTGCGTTATTAAAGGTTTGCGTCTCGGGAGGATGGATAAACGGGACCTTTCGGGTTATTATTTACCAATATGCAGGCTGAAGGGATCAAACGTKTTATTAGCATCCAGTGGAGTCATAAAATCCCCTGAAAATCAACCCAAGCAGCCACAACAGAGCAAAGTTTTCCCAGTAAAATGATCTGCACGCAAATGTTTGTGCTTTTATATTCTTTGTGAATGCGTTCAGAGTCTTACGCACACAAAGACACACACATGCCCCGACGTTAGACATGTGAAAAGTCATCCCATGTCCATGTGAAAGCAGTAAAGCCATAATTACCCTTATCCTATTGACTTAATCAGGAACCCCACGGGACTCACAGCATGGCTCTCAAGGTCGGGAAAACACAAAAATTACCGTTTCACCGTTGGATTACAACTCTAAGATCTTTTATTAATGTACACAATTTGTTTTTTTTTTAACTCTACACAAACACAAAGCCCCAAATAGCATAACTTGAATTTAAATAAACGATTTAGCTTAATTACATTATTTAAAAAAAGTAAAATCTTTTCTACAGCATTTACAAATATGCAGTTGTTACAATATACATACATACATGTACATACATACATACTGTATGTGTTGATAAGGAGGTTACAGGACGGGGGTTAAGGAGCCCAAATTTTAGCTGCCAATTTACTCATAATGTTCAAAAATTGCCCCTCGCTTCACTCCAGGGTGCCCCTCCTGCCTGTCATCCCTCACTGTCCCAACATTCATCTGGACTCCTTTCAGATTTTCGCTCCTTCTCAGGAGGTTTGTCCAAGATCCGACAGGAGGATGGAGTACGAGTGATTAGCTTTGTGTAATTTATCTGATAAAAAAAAAAGCTTATGGAGAGGTCAAAAATGTAAAACACTGTGCTTCCTTGACTGTAAATATCTGCACTTTTGGCTTCCAAAAGAGGGGGAGTTGCATAGCAACCACCATCCCCACAAAACCATGTGACAACTTTATAAAGAAAAAAAAAAATAAACATTCCTACTTTCAACTGGAGAGCATTTGACCCTTAATAATAATTATTATCAGTAAAATCAACATTTTGGACAGCATTAACAACAAATTCCCAATTGAGATAATATCAAAAACCAAAAAGATACATGAACGTAAAACCTGAAAGTCAGGATTTTAAAACTCTATGAGTACAGAATTATTTATTTGGAAGTCTTTTTAGTAAGTCCATTTAAAAATGTGGTTAAAATGATTAATGAGAGTAGGTAGTGTCTACAGAATGAAGTCTGGTAGAAAACGCCCCTCTGTTGTCTCCACGTGAGGTGGAAGTTAGCTCAGTTTCTGCAGATGTGGGGGGGTTGCTCAGCTCACGGTTGCAACGGGTTCCTCGCCCCCCTCCTCCACCTTTGCGCCTTTGCCCATGGTTTTCATTTTGGTCATGATGTCGGTGAACGTCTCCTTCACGGTCTTCTCGAGGAGGTAGCCCTCGCTCTCGCTCTCCACGTCCTCCGGGTTGGCCAGGGTGGACAGGGAGCTGTGGACGTACTGCAGGCCGACGGTCACAGCCACCTGCAGGGGACAAGAGGACACGCTCTGTCAAAGACACGAAACAACGTTTACAAACACACAAAACACGGCAAATGTTTAGGTTAAACCGTTCAGTTTCATCAATAGAATTACTGAGCGGCACGAAAAAAACCCTTTATGTTTTAAGCTTTGATCAAATGTGAAAACAACCCATGCTAAAATAGAAACTACTTTTGAATATTATTGTGTGAATCCCGAGACAGAACCTTCAGCTCATTCAGGTGAAACAACTTTTATTTTGTGTCATTTCTATACTGATTTAACCAACTTTATTTAAAAACATTTTTCACGCAGAAATACATTGGGATCACTTCAATTCCTCAGACACATTGTTCGCTCTGTTTTTTAGCCTGCTTTTATTATTAGCTACTGTTCTGCCACTTTTAGCTACCTTTTCATGTTTGTAGCTACCATTATTGCTAGACTTTTCCTGCTTTTTGTTAACGTTTTACTATTAATTTTGAGGCTTTTGCTTCTTTTAGCTTTTAGCTACCATTATGATACTTTAACTAGCCTTTTGCTAGTTTTAGCTAACATTTTGTTGCCTATAGCTAGTATTTTATTACTTTAAAATTTCTAGCTTGCCCTTTCTTATTTTTTAGCTTTTAGCTACCATTTTGCTACTTTTATCTTTTAGGTTATCTTCTTTATCTTTTAAGTGTTTTGTTATTTTTAATTATAGCGTGCCCTGAGATTACGTTTTTTGTGAATTGGTGCAATATAAATAAACAAAAATGAATTAAATTAAATAGCATTTAGCTACTTCTGACTTTTGGCTACCATATTGCTACTTTGAGTTAGCGTTTAGCTAGCATTTTCCTACTTTTAGTTAACCTTTTGTTGCTTTTAGCCACCATTTTGCTCATTTTAATTTTTAGTTGGCCTTTTTTATGCTTAGCTTCTATCTATCATTATTCTACTTTTAGCTTTTATTTACCATTTTTTTCCTTTTGGCTTGCATTTAACAATACCTGACTTCATCAACAACTTACAATGAAGCAATTCAGCAACACAGTTTTACAGAAAATTAATTTTCTCCAGTTTAAATTGCTTTCAAATTTTTTCATAAAAAGTGAAAAAAGACATAAATTAATGAAGTCCCCTTTAAGCTAAGGTCTAGAATTTAGTGTAAACAGATTAAAAATCCATTGCTCYAACGAGGACGTCAGTTGAGGAGATAAAGCTGCAGGAGCACCTCCTGTAGATTAACCCATTACTCCATCCCTGAACCCAGTATCAGTGTCGCCACACACGCTTGCATAACTCCTCCTGAATCAGATATTCTGTGACTGATAAGCTCCTACGTTCTGCTTTAATCCGTGTTTCAGGACAGAAGTTTGTTTGCTAGATATCCAGCAGAAAGATGATATCCAAATGTCTCTATTTACCATCTCTTTGTGGTGACATAAAACATCCAAACTATTCACATCAGGCTCAAAATCTCTAACTTCAAGGGTTTATCTCTACAAGTTTGTTCTCGGAAGCAGACAGTTGTAGAAAGCAGAACCGAAGCAACCACAACAACAACAACAACATATGGTGGCAGTGAGTCTGAGGAAGGATTTAAGTAAATAAAGATGATGAAAGTTGGAAGGGCATTAAATGATAGAGTGAAGCAGTAGGAACAGTTCACAGGCAAGTGGGTGGAGGACATGTTGGAAGAAAGTGCAGGAAGTGGATTCCATAAAAAAAAAGAAAAGAAGGAAAGTACAATTTTCTCTTTAACACTTGTCTGGAAGTCTAAAGCCACTTTTAAACTATATGCATTGTCCCTGTGCAATATAAAGCACTCCTTTGAAAGCACAAACAAGTGATTCCCCCCCCGCCTGAAACGGTCCTCATTAATTCCATTAATTGCTGTCTAGTCTGGGGATCCCTTTGTCGACGCATGACTAGATTGTGCAGCAGCTCTGCCGCCTGCATCAGGCTGTCTGGTGTTTAACACATGCAGCCGTGCACGAGAGCGAGAGCGCTGATCAAACTAAGCCTGAACCAGCTGCTCTGTCTGTGTTTCATGGATCCAAACTCTGCAGAGCTGATGAAAAGTAACACATGCAGAAGAGTGAAAGGTGTATTTTTTCATTGGTTTTGAAAATTTGGAACACTCCACATGGACATGACAGTTAACGTTTTATAAAGATCTTTGCAATTCAATGCAATTATCCCAAAAACTTTTAAAAGGATTTAAAATGTTCATTTAGATGCTTGAACTTCAGTTTGACCTACATACTCAAGCACACCAATATGAATCAAAATGTGATGTTTTTATGGTACCGTGTGCACAAGATGACAACTGCACATGAGTATTTCTCCAAAATGAAAAAAAAAAATACTAAATTCTTTTTTACTTTAAAGCAATCATTAAGAATCATTTACTCATTTTCTCCAACTAAAACAGTTCATTGACTTTTTAAAAAAAAAAATTGAATAAAGCTTGTATGGGATGCGGGAGGCGCCTCCTAATCAGGCAAATCAAAGCTCTTTTCAACTTGGAATGGACTCCCTAACATTTGCTTTTTCAAGAAATCTGTAAAAGGAAACTGAAATCATTYAGGTGCGTCATTAATTGAAATGGAAGTTGATCGCTGAGACTGTTTGAATGAAAGTGTAAATAATTTGGGACGATTTTGTCAGATTCATAAGCCTTTTTTTCTTGTATTGCTGGAAAACATAAAGTAAAGTTCTGTGGAACAAGCTAAATGATTCACCTAAAACCTCGTTAAATTGAATGTTAGTATGTTGGCGTCTGCAGATCTGACCTCCAACATGGTGACCAACAGCACCAGGGCTCCGATAGTGTTCATGATGCCTCCATAGTAGGACAGCAGGGCGTCACGGCAGCCGCGCTTCCAGACGTTGAGCTCCTCCGTGTAGTGGTCGTAACTGTAGTGAGCCGAGTTGTTGGTCATCTGCTGCTGGATGCAGGGTCTGGGGGAGCTGGGGTTGCAGCAGCTGAAGGGCACCCCGTCCATCAAGTACTGTCCGTCCACGTTGCTCCCGATGCGACTGAACGAGCAAAGCAAAGTTCAGAGTTAGAGATAGAAAAGTGTGGCTTTATCTGAAGCTAAAATTACTTGTGACATAATCTACAAGTGCATGATTCTGTTTTTTTAGGCATCTTGTTGGCAGGTACGTGCAGGTGCAATGTGGCGTGCAAAAACAGTCACCTAAATGTGCATAAGTGGGCCAAAGCTCAATCTTGCAAGCTGATCTCAGCTCTGACTGATGGTTGTAGGTCAGCGGAAAGACAAGTGTGATTGGATCACAAAGCTTCGTTGACTTCCAGAGGCACTGCTCTCTATTCAGGAGCAAAAGTAATGCCTGAGGATGCACTTTTAGCAAACTTCAAAGACTTTTAAAAAATTGCTGTCCTTTAGAGTGATAAACTCAATCAGTTTGTAATAATGAGGTTTTTTATGATGGATTTGTAATCTGATCATTCAAAAATAGTTGCTGTTGACTCCGATAATTTTCAACAATAAGGGCTGTTTTTTTTGGTAATTGCACATTTATTTGTTCTTTTCTGTGAGCCCTGGGTTGTTGAGCAGTGCTAATCCTGGAGCGCTGTCAGGTCTTCTGCAGATTGGACAGGACACTGATTCTTGAGGGACATGTAATCCCAGAGATTAAACACTGAGTATGTGCCAGCTTTCAAAAACGGCCACCTTCTCAATTGTTAGGGTAAAGTTAAAAAGGTTAACAAAAACTGGAATTTAGCAACACACATTTAATTCAACCTGTAGTATTTGGACAGTGTGCATTTTTTTCTGTTCCTAAACATGGACACCTCTCTTCCTTAATTGTTGTATCCATGAAATGAGCATGTAACCCTTATCCCACCCCAAGCCCACCAACATCACATTCATATCCCTATCTGTAGCTGACACCATTTCTTAGACAGTAATTCTGAGTGGCAGAAAGTGAAGAAGAGAGTAGAGAAAGTACACCTGCTCTGACCCTTTTCCACCACAAATCCACTTATACTCAACTTGGCACAAACAGCACATAAAGTGRGTCACTTAGCAATGTCGAGCTTACACGCTCGGGTCTGAAAAGGAGCTAATTTGCGGTCATATCGCACTCTTGTAAGAGATTTCCCCTTCGTTCTTTGCAACTCACTCTTTCACTTCCTTGGCGCTGAAGTCCAGGTAGCGGTTGCTGACCCACTGAATCTCAAACCAATCTCTGTAGTTGTCATTCCCGCAGCAACGGAAATCCATCTGCATCAGGTCCAGGGTCCTCTTCATGTAGCAGCGACCCGGTGTGTCCGTGTCCTTGTAGTACTTCATGCCATTCTTCAGCCCCTCAGCGAGAGTGAACTGCAGGGGGATCCGCATCACGAAGCAAAGCAGGGCGGTGAGGAACAGCAGGCCGTTGAAGACCATGCAAAAGACCAAGAAGGTCTTCAGCATYGGCTTCCACTTTACAAACTTAGTAGGGTCCAAAGAGTCGTAGCAGACTTTGCCTCCAAAGGCGTTAATACCACAAGCTACCAGGCCCATGAATATGAGCACGTTGGGCAAGAAGTGGCTCTCGTTGTTGTCCATAAGTTCTGAGCGCTTCCGCAGCTCGATCTTGAAGAACAGGCCCAYGCTGAGGACCAGGATGCCTGCCAATACAGCAAACCAGTACATAAACCAAACTGTCTGAGCGAGCTTCACTCGCTTTTTCAGATCAAACTTGACCACCATCAAAGCCATGGTTCAATCTGTGATATGTCCTCGTCTCTGAAGAAATTAGTCAAACGSTGTCGAATCGCAAGAACACGCCGACCTTCAGTTCTTGTTTCCGTGTTGTCAGGGTTTCCTCTTGTTGATCAAACAGAGCAGGAGAGTCAGCTCAAGTTAAAATCCATCCCACAACAAGGAGCAGAATTGAGGGAATTAAGGAGGACTCCCCAGTGGCACAGGAGTCTTAGTTCTTCAAAAGTTTCACCTCGCCCATTGTGCCAGAACAAACGATAGAGGTTCATCAAGCTCTACTTCTATAAACTTGTCGTTTTTTTGTCTTTCCTAACTCACAGGTTAACCTAATCCTGATGCACTGTTCTCTCAAAGAGGTGGARGATTGCAGAGGAGCCTCATGATTAAACTCCAAGTTGCTGTACGTCATCCTAAGCCCCTGTAAGCAGCCTGATCCAATTTACAGAAATCCCCCCACACAAGATGAGCCTGATTGTAAGCCGCTGCCAGGGACCATAATTGGTTTGAGGGTTCACGTGGTTGCTGCCACCTCCGTGAAAACGCACCAGGAGATGAAAGTTCGCAAAGATCACGGACATGGCAGCGGAGCTAAACGTGAGGCGTACCCATTCACAGGTGCGGGGTCCGCGGCGCGAACCGGATCTCTTCACAGAGAAGCAAATAGGCTGAATCAGTGAAGCTCAATCATTGACAAAAATGCTGTCAGGTCGATACATCGACYGCTGCACGTTCAGTCAGTGACAAATAAATCATTCTTTCCCAAGTGACCCCACACCAGAATGGAAATAGATTCAAGATTAAACTTTAAAAATTACCTTTTTTCCTCCCCTAAATTAATATGTGTTTCTTTTTTCTTTGTGGACATCCGCACTCAGATGTTTTTTTTTGTTGCATTTTGGCCAAACAAATATCAATGATGTAACAATAGGATGTTGCCTCGCATCAAGAAAGTTTTCTGATTTCCAGCTGGGATTGCATGTTCAGTCCAAAAACATWCATATTAGGTTACAGCTACTCATTGCAAAGTCAGCAGATAAAATGCAAAACAAAATCTGCACAGTATTTTTTATCTTTTATAAACGAAGACAATGTATGCCTGCATTAAACATTTGTAAGCAAAATTTGTGATTGGATGTCAACTTGGATTGACTCCAAAGTTAATCAAGCCAATTATTTTTTGAGAGTTGCACTGAAATAAATTAATAGTGGTTTATGAGATGTTTTGCTAACAAAGGTTGACTACCATGTTTTTAAACAAAAATGTTGTGCTCAAAGTCTGTGTTGGATGATCAAGTGTAGCTACCACACCAAAGTTTAGCTTATTATAAAAATTGTTTGATTTGTAGCTATTTTAGGTGTTTTCTAAGGCAGTGTTTCCCAAAGTTGGGGTCGGGACCCAAAGTGGGGTCCCAAAACATCAAGGTGGGGTCCTGAAAAGATTTTATGAATTAATTACATTTTTGCCTTAGTTGTTACAAATTACTGAGGTTAGTATATTGAAAATGGATAAATGTAGTATGATAATTATTGTTACTATGCCCAGTTGACCTGATACAAATGTTTCTCATCCAAAAATAGTTGGGGGCTCAGTTCTCTGCTGCTGTTATTTTGTGGGTCAAAAACTGAAAAGTTTGGTAACCAGTGCACTTTGGTTCCCAAAGTTGGGCTTGGGACCCAATTATGGGTCATGAAGCACCTTGGATAATCTCCAGAAATCAATGTAAAGGGTAATAAAATAATTGCTGATGTAATATTTTCCCTATAARTATTACAAAAACACAAAATAATTAAAAATAAGTATTTATATTTGTGTATAAGCTGTTTAGATTGTCAAAAACCTGTGTTTTTAGGATTATCAACGAATTTCATGTACTCAGACTAGTAATATTTGGGGTCACAAGTTTTTGCCATGAATATTTTGTGGGTCAGAAGACAAAAAGTTTGGGAACCATTGGTCTATGGTACTTTTTCTGTTGTGAATCATGATTGTTGTGTTGTTTTACAGTCATGTTTCAGTCTTCTATCACCTTTTTTTTCTCATCTGTTTTTATTCCTATAGCCTGCAAAAATATCTCATGAATCAGTTTATTGATTTTAATAAAACTTTCACATATCACCAATTAGCCTTGAATTAACCCAATTCAAGATGGCTGCCACATCAAATCAGTTTTAGCAAACACAAAAACAGCTAAAACTCAGTGTTTTACAGGTAGAGCCAAAATTTATTGAAGTAAAAGCTGAACGTGACATCTCAGGATTGCCATTGCACATTAGGTTATCTTCAAGATTCAACCATAACAGTCATGTTTTTTTTCATTTTCTCAACATAAGGATGCTAAAACTCTTGCATGGAAGGTGACAGATTTGTTTACAATGTAAACAGAGATTAAATTAAATGCAGTGGTAAGTCTGTAAGCCAGTTTTTAAGTTTGCAATTATAACTGTTTTTTTTAAGTACCTTACAGGACAAGTTACAGTTAAGAGTCACAGTACTATATTTAATAATCACGAAAAATGTGTAATTTATTTTCTAAAATGCTTGATATAGATGAAGCAAATCTGCAAAGCTTTGATCACTTTTGAAGGAATAATATGTTCAATGAGCCAAAACAACTCAGCTTCGTGCTTTTAATTTGAAATGTTTTGGAGAAAATGCGATGCATGATGCAAACGGCTGAAATAAAAGCACAAGAAAAAAAAAAGTGCAAGATCGGGGAAGGTCATCGCTTGTCGTTCCCGCTGCATCGTTTTGAACTTCATTTGAAAACTCGAACTGTAGATGAGAGATGGTTGGTGTCATTTTGAGTGCTTTTCAACTAGAACATGCACATTAAAAATTAATTTCTCAAACTGTAGATAATAGAAACAAAGAGTATTTTCATCAAAACTAAAATTTGGAATAAACCTTGGATAAAATATCTGATCAACAAAAACAGCTACCACTGTTCAGCAGTTGTTAGAATTTTATGCCTTTAAGAAATAAAAAAAAATAAATATTTGATGCCTGAGGTTTTAGACAGTTGACAAAACGGTGGGCTTTATAGAAATAAGGAGTGCACATAAGCAAAACTTTAGAACAATTTGTTGTGATTTTTTTCCCTTCACCTTTATCCCTATCTTCCTGTTTAAAAATGTATAAGTGAAAAAAAGGGATGCAGTTTCAGACAAAAACAAGCATTTAAGCTTTAACTTTAAAATATAGTTAAAGTTGATACAATCTATATCTAATGAGTTGTGAAGCTTTGTTTGTTAATAAGCAATAGCTTTAAATATTAGATTTTAAGGGTCCCAGGTGGTTTTTCTGTCATCTTCTGGAATAACAGTCCAGTTTGGGGACGGTGTCCCMGCTGCGAGCCAGTTGAAGTCGTCCACCTGGCTCCAGTTGTTCCTGTCCCGATCCAGGCCGGACACAGAAAAGTCCTCCTCCATGCTGGGGTAGGACCAGGAGAACGGGGCGAAGCTCACCCCGCGYCAGTCCTCTATGATGGCTCGGCTGGTGACGTGCAGGTACACCTGGGTGTCGGTGGTGTTGTGGGTCCGCAGCTGCTGGCAGGGGAAGGCCAGAACGCTGTTCCTGCAGTGATCCACGAACACAGACGTAGCCACAGGCCCGCACAGGATCTCACAGCTGTCYATGTGCTTCAGGTGCAGGGTGCTCGGGGAGCCGAACAGACGAACTTTGCAGTTGGTCAGATGAGTCAGCAGCACATCCTGGTTTTGGATTTCCTCAGCTGTCTTYGTTAGAAACTCGTCGTGAATGTTGGAGAAGCCACACTGCTCAGAGGGTGGASATCCGTCCAACTTGACAGTGCCTGAATCAGCAAGGGGAGCGGTATCAGTCACCTGTGGGGAGGGTTTATCTGCTGCTTTAGTGCGAGACCGGAAGGCGAACTTCTTCTTGGGCAGAGACTCSTCTCTAGTCTCAGCGAGGGAAGCGTGGAGCTTCTGAAGAGCTGCCTGGGCTGTCTTTAGCTGGTACTGTGTGAGAACATACACGTTGTCGTTAAGAAATTTCTGCAGCTGCGCTGTTTTGGTTGTCGCCTCCTCCAGCTTCTGGGTGACAGCAGCCCGGTCAGCTCCAGAGCAGCCGGACAGCAGCTCTTCGATACTCGCCCGCTCCGAGTTYAAGGTGCTGATGAAATACTCCTTCTCCTCGGCGACGGTCTGGTTCCGTTTGGCTTCTTGCCTCCGTTCAGCATCTTCTACCCTCGCCTGGTGCCGTCTCTGAAGTCGCTCCAGCATCGTGGAACCGTCAGTTTCTCCACGAAACTCMTTTCCATTACTAGCTTCCACAACGGCGTCCATATTTTTTTATGTGCGTCGCAAATTGATGACGTAACTTTATGTAAACGCGACGTGTTTGGGAACTAGCGCCACCTGCCGTTTCGGAGCTACAATGTAAAATTTACATTAAGTAAACAGCTAAAACAGCAAGAAAAAAACATTTAAAATATGTCTGATAAATACTACATGGTGTGCTTAGTGTTTGAGAGCTCCTCAAATAAAAACAAACTTCAAATTAAACTCTCGTACTGAATATGCTGAGTATTTCAAATCAAYTTAAACAAAACTGTTCTGGGATAAGTTTTGTGAATTTATTTTTGCACTTCTTTGCTCATTTATTCTAAGCTTAAAGAGTAAATTAGATCAATTATTATTYTTGTTGTTGTTGTTGTTGTTGTTATTTACAAAGCAACTTACATACATATAGWGTACCACAATGTGTTGTATCCCAGTTGGAAACAAAATATAAAATAAAAACAATGAAACAAACAAAATAAATAATATTTAACACCAACAAGCAATATTGCTATTCTTTTATTTTCAATAAAAGGAGCTATGGTCAATAAGCACAATCATAAAAAATAATTTAATTATTATTGAAAATACTAACATAAAAAAACAAGTTTTTTTCTTTTGGTTTTAGTATCCTACGCTAAACATTTTTTAAAAAAATGTTTATTTATTACTGTTTAGTGTACTTGCCTATATGTCCAAACGTGAAATCAATTAAAACGATATTGTTAAAAACAAAACAAATAACTTTAAAATTAAATAAAATTAATTTTTGGTTGCTGGGTCAGCAGGGCCGAGCGCAAATCGTGACACCGCACCTCATACTGGCACTTCCGTCTCTCTGCTGGGTTAGTTTGGCCCAACTATTTTATACTTTTGCATGAAATTCATAATGTAAACATTAGAGTTTACTTTTTTTTAAAAACTTCCTTCATACCTGAGCATACCTAATAATTAGGTCTAATATGGGCATAATGTGTCTTTTAGGTAAACATTTATAAAAAATATATATATTCAAACGTATTATTGTCAATGGTTTTATATTATTAATGTATTTCCCATTGAAGTGTTCGGAGTCGCGTGCCGGGTGTTGTTGGTCGCGAGCCCTACCCCCCCGACAACCCGTGCGGCCATGGCGAGGAAACCCCGTCGACAAGACACCGCTTTTTCATGACGGTGAGTTCCCCTTTGAGTGTATTATAATTTTGTGATAAAAATTTCAAGGAAAAAACACACACAAGCTCCTTCCTCCCTTCCTTCAGGGAGGGAAGAGAGTTTGAGCGGAGAGAAAAATCTATCTGAGACAGAACAGGGACGGTGAGGGGAAAAAATATGAGTGGGAGAAGAAGAAGAAGAAGGAGGAGGAGGAGGAGGAGGTGGGGGGAGCAAATTAAAAGTTGCCAAATGGAGATATTGGGTTTCAAGAGGAGTGAGACAGGAGTAAAAGGGTTTGCCTCTTTGAGTCGTCTTTATGTTATGCTAATCTGGATAAATATTTATAGCTCGACGCGGGTTAGCCCTTTCGACGGATTCTAGTTAAAAAAAAACAATAGGCGTCGTTCGATCCCGCGGCTAGCTAACCGAACCGAACAGGCCGAGGTTTTAAAGGCTGGGGGAGGAAAACAAAATGCGGCTCCCATTCTGGACAGCGACCCGACCAAGACCCGGACCGGTTCTACTGCCACCCGAATCGAAGCKTTTCGGTTCGACATGTCGATACAAATGTGACGTTTATGGTTGTTGGCAGAGATGAGCCCCGTCATCAAATGAAAGCTTCCCGCAGCAGAGAAACACGGGAGTCCGTCAGCGACGACGGGCGTTTTGTCCTGCTTCAATGCGATTATCACTCAGTCGGTTCGGGTCTATTTTTGGAAATTAAACTCAGAAATACTCCCAACCGGGTTTGTGAAACCGGTGCTGGTTCCCTTCAGCAGAAATCAGTCGGTTTCATGTTTTCTGCGTCGCCTACATGCTAGGACGGTTTTCGTGGACAAATGCTCATAAAACCATAGTGGCTCCTCTAAAATACAGCTTTTAATAATCCAGATTAAAAACAACAACAAGCAAAGAATAAAACACATTTAGGGATTGCATTTTTGTTTTTATTACTTTCGGTCAAAACTGTTTTCTAACGAGGTGAAAAACTACCTTTTAAGTACTGTTATTTTACCATATATCAAAGTAATGTAGTCGTTTTTATTTATTTAACGTGGTAATTTATAAGTGCAAATGTTGTAAGAGATACAGCCTTATTTTCTTCTCTTACGAAGGTGAAAATGGCTGATTTTAGTCAGTTCTGCATCGATTAAGATACAAAAGTGTCGCTGTTTGTTAATAAAAATCCTTTCTAACAACTGCTAAGTTTCTTACAAATAAAACAGCTCATGTCGCAAATGAAGCTTCACATTTTTATTAAAGCTACTTTATTCAGGCAAAGCTGCCCACTCTTTGTTGTCCCGCGAATCAAAGATGGCGGCTGAACGTGGTTCAGCCACAAAGACAGCCCATCAGCCATTTTGTAGCTCTGCAGTTGTCCCCCTCCACACACGAAATCCTTCATTTACACCTAAAATAGTCCAATTTGGGACCTAATGTGATATAACAACTTGAAACCATGATTTTCTGACACTCTCCCCTCTTGATTAAATACAGTTCTTACAAATCATTGCTCATGATAAAATAAGTGCCCATGTGTTTCATTTGCCCCCCCTGTTTTTTGTTGCACCATAGATGCATACCACCACTGGCTGGAGTGACATAAAGCCACTCAGTGTAGCAATGAAGCTCAAATATATTCAGTTCGAAGCAGGGTGGAGTTATTTACACAGGAAGGCCAGTTTTTGCTTTGGAGAGACAGGAGTTTGTGTCAGACTACAGTGAAAGCCATCTTGTGAATAACAAATGCTCCTGCTCCACACCCCTGCTTCATACAGTTTTTTTTTTTGCTTCACATACCTCCCTATCGCAGTTTCACAAGCGACCATGTAGCTGTACTAAATGCATTTTGTCCCCCCTCTTGCAGCTCAGCCTGTTACAAAAGAGAAAAGGCTTATTAAATGACTGAATCCATGCTTCCTGGTGGATATCTGTGAGTTAGATACCAACACTACCATTATAAATGTGTGCATATTCCTGTATCAACACTTCCCTATCAGTGTGTGCACATTTAAACAGAATACAATCAAACATTCCCACCGTTCACGTGCTGTATAACTGTTCCAGGTGTCATGGATGATGACGACGATCGCCGTCTTCTGGATTTCTTAGGGTAAAAAGACTCAAATTTACACAGTCTGCCTGATAAATGTTAGTTCATTCCCACCACATTTTAAAAGCGCTGAGCTTTTCATAGCCTGGCCACATTTTTTGTCCATTTTGTGTAAATATAAGCAGCAGTTTTAGTGTTTCTCTTTGAAATCAAACCTACACAATGATCCGTGACAAAATATACAGAAACTGTTCAGACTAAATCGTGAACTTGCTCTTTCCAGAGACGTGGACGCGCTGAATGATTATCTCCATGGCAGCAACAGCAAGTCTGTGAGTGACACAGCGTCTAAAGTTTCTTGAGTCTTTCTCCCAGGTGCAGAAAAGCATAAAAAATATGACTTTTCCTTCCCAACAGATTGAGGAGGATGACGTGACAAATGCAGCTTATGGATCAGATGGATCTTTCTTTGCCAGCAACACAGTGAGTATAAATATGTTTTACTTTGATCAAACCTAAACACAAACTTTTAAATCATCAGTTGGTTAGGAYTGATGGATCAGGTTTTAGTCAAAAGTTAGTTTTAAGTGTTTAAAAATGTGATTTTTCAGTTGCATATATAGTTGTGATCATTTTTGCTTCGATCAGCTTGTTGAGTCAATGTTTGTAATTTTCCTACTTTGTTTTGTTACAAATTAAGAACAAGAGGTAGGACTACAGGCTGAAGCCAYTTATTGACATTTTGTTCTCATGTTTATTTCAGACTAACTCCAACASTTGTCTCAAAGATGGCTCTTCTTCCATGGGTGACTTTGGAGAGGACTCGGGACTCACTCTGGAGAGGGCAAGCCTCCAGCTCTCCAGCAGCCTTTCGTTCATCGAGGATGAACTGGGGGCTGGGAGCTCCCCCGAAGACGTGGACCTCGGCGGAGAAGACCAGCCTTTCGACATCCTCCAGAAGTCTCTCCTGGAGGCGGACATCACGGAGCAGACGCTGGCCCAGGAGGCCTTGCTGGACTCCCAGCCGGCTCCCACCCTCGTGCAGGCTCCGGTTCCCTTCTCCTCCCAGCTGGTCTCGGGGGGCTACGGAGGTGGGGTGGGCGTGGTGACCACGGCGGCGGCTGCGTTTCCTGCAGGCCAGCTGCTGCAAGGAATGTCGTCGCTGCCCAACGGCTCCACCCAGCATATCCAGGTGTTGGGCTCGTTTGGGGCGGGGGCCGGCGTGATGACGCTGAGCAGCTTGGAGAGGACTCCTCAGATTGTCATAAGGCCGGGGGTGCCTGTCGCTACAGCAGGGGCTGCCCCAGGAGGGCAGGTGTTTGCCCCGAACCAAGGGCAGATAGGACAAGTCGGCTTACCTTTGAAAAATATTCCTCTTCAAAACATCATAATTCAAAGAGGCCCAGGAGGGACCCAGACTATCGTCAGACCAATACAGCCTAAACCCCCTCAAACGGGCTCTCAGTCTGTCTACAGCCTCGGTCTACAACCCACTCCCACTACCGTGGCAAACACCGCTGCTGTGGGGCAGTACACAGCTAACGGTACCATCYTGGTCCAACCACCACTAGAGCAGCAGCAGGTGCAGGCCCAGACGAACTTACCCACAGGGCAGTTCCTAATCCCCAACTCTTTGACTCTCACTCCGTCCTCCACCATCCCCAACGGCTCCACCAACCCCTGCTCAAGTGCTTTAATGACCAACCAAAACACCGTGCAGATCGCCGCYGAGCAGAACTTCACCGCGCCTCCAGGAGGCCAGCTGATCCTGAATCAATGCGTGGTGAGCGGCGGGAGTCCGGTCGTCGGAGCCGCGACCCAGACGTGGAGCTGCGCCCCCGCGCAGACGTCCTGCACGCCCGGGCGGCTCACTCTGGTCGGCCCGGCGGCCGCRGGGATCGGCGGCCCGGCCCAAGCGTCGGCGTGTCCCGTGCAGCGCCTRCTAGTGACTCAAACGCAGAACTGCACCTCTCTGTCGGCTTTACCCGGCAATGTGGCGCAGGAGCAGAAAGATTTCCTACAGGTATGATCACAGATTAATGCTTTTCACCATGTCTTCTCTGTAAACTGCTGTGTGACCCAAATATATTTATATATTTTAGAATTCGTCATCACCTGGGTTTAAACCGGCACAGTTTGGCAGCATTCATGGTAACAACAACTTGATGTGAGATTATTTATTCAAGGGTTTTTGCTGCACTTTGAACTCATTGTTTTTCTGTGTTTTAGTCATGAAAACCATAATGCAAAACTCAACTCCAAACTCTGAGGTGAGTTGGGTAATTTCATGTTCATACCTAAAGTTTAAGGTAGAATAAACTGGAAGGACATTTTAACAACTCTAGCTTGAACYTTTCTCTGAACAGGTCAGTTTACAGAAGAGGCCCATCGGTTCCTCACTCACAAGAGGAGAACTGTGAGTCTTCTGACACCGATATTGATTTTATTAATATTTTGATTGTTTTCTTGAGCTGAATCGAGTGACCGAGTGTCTTCTTGAACTCAAAAAGCATTTTAGAGCACTTGAGGAAGGATCACGCCCGGGTTCAGAACCCGGACCGACGGAGGTTCCGCTCCGTTGACGACGCCTTGCAAAGACTGCTGCCTTACCACGCCTTCCATGGTGCTCCACCCAGCCAGGGCGAGTTCTCACAAGGTGCCTTAAAATGATCCGCTTGACTCCGAATCTACTGAACGAGCAGCAAAATGGCTCAATGAGCTTTTCTTGAACTCTTGTTTATGAATTCCAGTGGACGAGGAGTTTGAGGTGGTTGCAGCTCAGGTGCTGATGAGGACCGAGGCCATGGTTAACAAATACAGACGGRTGCTGTTAGTGGAAGCTGAGGTAAGGTGAATGTGGTTGCATGTGAGCAGTGAATAAATACATTTGTTGTTAGATAAATAACAGTGCTCCCAGTTCACTCAYCATGTGGAACATCAGGTGTCAGTGTTTCAGATTTGCCTGAAAAATTGACAACAAATGGAAAAGTGAATAAAAAAAAGTCTAAGTCCATAAATGGAAATCATTTTCGATTTATTTTATTAATTATTTTATATCTAAATTGCATTTAGTTTAACTTGTGTTTTGGAAAAATGCATTTGCTGAATCAACATTAAACAAATGAAAGTAAAATTATTAATTGATCTTCTCTAAAGTCCTCACATAATAGGCATTAGAATTAAYATAGTTAGCAATCAAATGTGCCATATTATTAACTAGCGCAGCACTATGATCTTTTTGTTAATGCAATTTTTATTTATTTATATAACAGTTTTATATATATTTTTTGGATTCGTCTTATTTTTCATTTCATGAAATTTCTTTTTAATTTTTTTCTCTCTTTTTATTCTTTATTAATTCCCGCTTTTGTATTATTATTTTTTTATTGATATAATCCTTATACAGCATATTTACATTATCACTCATGTTTTCGTTTTACGTTTGGCATTTAATAGATTCTTATGAATTTTTTTTCTTGTATTCGATTAATATATCCTTATTTATTTATTTGCCCCTTTAACCAGCTGATTCATTTTTTTTACTTTTATTTATTCATTTATTCAATACATTTTGTGTACATTACCCTATATTGATTAATTACCGATCATCAAATACTAATATTTTGACTAATATTTAGACCAATCACATTTTGTTTTACTTTACAGCTCAGTTTATTTAATTTATTTTACTTCTCATTTCTCTCTCTGTATCTGTTGTTTGTTTTGGTTCTTTGCTTTGTTATGAAATGTTGCATGATTGTCTATGTTTGTCTTTATTGTGTTGTAAAAAAAAAACTAGCGCAGTGCTAACAGATCGAACTTATTCTGCAGCGAAACAGTCCTTCGTCAGAAATGGTGATGATTGACAGGACCTTCAACCAAGAGGAGCGCAACAACCTGACGCAAGACAAACGGACAGTACTTGTAGATCCAGGTAAATGAAACGGGAACATCTACAGCGGGTAAAATAAGTATTGAACACGTCAACGTTTTTCTCAGTAAATATATTACTAGAGGTGCTAATGACATGAAATTTTCACCAGATGT